TATTTAATTACTATATTTTCTTATTTTCATTTTCTTGCTTTCGATATCAACAATTTTAATTGGGAAAATGTGTACGAATACTCGTACCCATACGAATTAGCGGTCATTTTCGCTTCAACCCATTATTGTAATTACGTACTGATAACAGAAGGCGATAATGACTGCTGGCTTTTATTCTAATAAATAATTTTCAAGCCGAAAATCGATTGACGGCAAAACGAATGTTCGTACTTCTGCTTTTGAACAACACTATCGTCTAAACCGTTCAGTCAATTATCTCCAAAACTGACATTTCTCAGTCAATCTGACTGATGTAGTGGTGCCTTGAATTTATAACCGATACTTTAACTTTGAGGGGACCTTTACATCAAGCTCTCGGGCAATTTTCAAAATTTTCAAAAAAATGTCCCAACTATTTTTATTAAACTTTGTGATTGGAAAGTGTGAAGGTCATTTAAGAAAATGGCGTAGGTGTCATGTTCGTTGAAAACCATGTTTTTTCGAAAATTGAATGCTGCGGAAAATCTATTTCAAGATGTCAACGTAAATGCACGTTGTCAACGGAAATGCCCTGATACCGAAAACAATTATTTTACTCAAAACGACCGTCCTTCTATCTGTTCGTCCGTCTGTTCCTCCGTCCTGTCCGACCAACTGGTATATGTGAACAACACAAGAGCCCAAACTATGCGTGCGATTATTTCCAAACTGAACACAACCCTGTCGATCTGGCTTGAGTCGAAGCCCTGAAATTTTGAAAAATATTCATTCATTTTGTTGTTACTTTACATTTTCAAAATTTTCTCAAAAATGACTCCAATTTTTTTCTACTTGAAGATTTTCTCAGAAACGGATCCATTTTCCCCTTTAAATGTTTGGTAGCTAACAATGTTAAATGTATTCCATGAGATGAAATAAACACCATATTGCTCTATGTTTTAAAAATTACATACAATTTAATTATTGACTAGACATTCGCGTCATCAATTTCAATATTAGGGGGGATTTTTCCACATTATTGCATTTATGAGTACATGTGTTTCAAATGAAGTCTTGTAAAGTTTCTCGAAAACACGAAACGTTTTTGAAAATAACGTCAAAATTCAACATTTTCAGAAACAGTCAAGCTCAAAAATGTCTCCAATTTTTTTCTTCAAACTTTTCGTACTGATAGTGCTAATAGCATTTTAATGATGACATAAAATTAACTTTTCTGTATACCTTTGTTTTTCAAAAATTACACAAATGTAGTTTTTAAGTATTTCTCATGCCGTTAATATAAACATTTCCAGCTATTTGTATCCATTTTTGTATTTGGAGTGGATGTGATTGTAAAGACTTCCAATAAATATTTTTAAAAAGTAAAAAAAAAAAATTCCGTGAAATGGAACTTCAAATTGCACATTTAAGATTAAACGTCATTTTCTTAAAAACGGTTTCAAATGTTTTAACGAAAATTTCTTTATAAGACAGTTTCTCTTTTCTTTGGTGTTCTTAAAGGAATAATTGTTTCTAATATTAGTAAACCGAAAAACTTCATTAAAAAAAACTGTCCTTGGGGTGTGATAGATGTCAGCTGGCAAAAATATGTGGCAAGACTGAAAAATCTAGCCCAGGCCAAAGAAATTAGAAAACTAAATAGTATGAGAAAGTCTGTGCTATTTTGTAACATCACAAGTTAAGAACTGGTTAATCATTAAAAATATAATTGATGTTCCTTGATATTTTCTTTATCTGAGGTCCAGATCTCCTCAAAACTAAGTATAAGCCTCACATTGCTTCTTCTCTAGCCTTAGAAGTAAATGTAGAGTAACTAAATATGGATTTAGCCGAAATAAATGCCAAGAAGTATGTTTTTGGTTTTGTAGGAATGTTAAAAAGTTGCATACTTGAAAAAAGTTGCAAAAACCGATTGAGTGAGAGTCTAGATAAAGACATGAAAAAACGTTAATTCTTTTGAAAGTATTCAAAATAAATTCAAAGAAACAAAGATGATATTTAGTATCGATATGCGCCGAACCAGCGAAAACGTTATAGAGTATTCAAAACGTTATTCTCCTTTAAGGCTACAATGTGAGGAACGCATCTTTGATACCTTTGGCTTCAAAATTACAGGATTTAAGGCCTTAGAACGCTTTGTTTAAGTTATTTAACCATATACGTTTTGACAATCCTACCGAGTGTTGCGGGTTTCATTTCACACTCATATTTAGATTTTTTTCTTTCTTTATAGACCTCACATATAAAAATGGCTTGACTCTGAGAGCCGCAAAGAGTGTCTATACTACTGAAACAATGTAGGACACCATTGTTTCGTTAAAAAACATTTTTTTTGATAAACACTTTTGTATCGAATTGTATAGAAAGTTATTCAACAGAAATGATTTTTCCTGTAACTTCAATTTGTGAACCGACCTTAATTGTTTAATGTCATCTGGGAATGCTTTGTAAGGTAACGTTCATGTATTGTATGTGAACTTTTGTAGTGAGCTGTTGGCACACACTTCATGAACGTGATTTCTACGACGTGAGTTGTAATTATTTATATCAGTATTGCATGAATATATGTTCCAACCGTTAAGTCACTTTTAACAAATATTACAGATTCGTAAATAAATAGACAAAGTGATGGTAATCTTCCAAGCTCAATGAAGAAAACTTGGCACGGATCACGTTGATGGCACTTTTTTCACTATTAGAATAATTTTCTTTTGCAATCTAAAGGTCAGAGTACTACTAGATAAGCATTCCCAGAATATTATGCCATATTTCAGGTGGTAATGTAAATTCACAAACTACATGCAACGAGCTGCATGAAGGCTGACATAATCTGAAAGAATTCTGAATGTGTAACATGGTGAACTTAATTTTCAGAGACTCCTTTCATGTTGCAGAACCACACTTTGGAAAAATCACGCCAAAATATATTCCATAACATTCAAGAAGTCCTATTGGAGCAGGCGGACTTTACTTTTGAAGGGTTTCGAGCAGAGCGATGGCAGACGATTTCGAGTGATTTCGTACCGGCGTCACAAGTAGCGTCTAGGAAAGTAGTGGTCTTGCCTCCGCCCATGAAGCTGCCGGCGTGGTCGCTGCCGCTGCGCGTGTTCTCCCCGCGCATCTGGCTCGTGCTGCTGGGGACGGCGGTGGCGTACGCGCTGGCGTGGCGCGTGGTGGCGGGCGAGTCGCTGGCCGCCAGCGCCGCCGCCGCGCTGCGCGCCTTCTCCTCGTGCGGGGGCGCCCCGCAGGACCGGGTGCGCGCCACGCCGCAGCGCCTGCAGCTCGCCGCCGCGCTGTTCGCCTCCGCCGTCGTCGTCGCCGCCACCTACCAGGTGACAACACAGACTGCCACGCTAACAATACTCCTTTGCTTTCCTTACTTGCTTATATTAAGACAAAATTAAGTGAGAATTGGTGTCTACATTTCAAGTTTTATTGATTAGAAAGATGATGTTATTTCTGTTCTAAAAATGAATTCCGTTGGTTAACAGAAAGACCGAAAAGAGGAGAAAAACCACAACCATTATTCTCCTATATTTAGAATATAATTATTTATTCTCTTTTATATTATTATTTTATGCACCTACATCTGCAAATTTCGTTCTTAATTAGTGTGTGTCTGATAAGCGATTTCTCTCTATACATTTTTAGATTGATACACGGCGACTTCTGTGGTCATTAGTCCCGTTATTTTTGTAGTATTCCGTAAGTAGCTCCCCCACCATTGGGTGGTAGCACTATAATGTTAGAGGACATGTCAAAAAGATCTTGTTTCGTTTTGAATGCATATGTTTAATTTAACATTTGTACATTGCATGAATGATAATCTTACTTTTAAATCTTCACAAGTTGCTTGTTAAGTCTTACTTTTTGATTCTTGGTGTACACGTAGAAGACAAAACTTACGTGTATCAGGTGCTTTCTAAAGGTACATTTCTTTTGCGTTTGAATTGTGTACTTGGTCTCATAAACAGTATTTGTGGATTGCTTGAAAAAAATACATCAAGAATACAAAGAAAGATTACATTTAAAATACAAATTGTAGAAAGATTAAAAATAAAATTAATATTGGCATTTCCAATAGTATATACAAATTAAAATTAAATTAATTATTTTTCATGTCCTTTGGTTTCATTTCTGTTCTCCAAGAATTTTTCTCCTGGTCCGTGGTTGGTGGGATACATACGAGTATTTCATTAATTTCAAGCAGAAATTTCGCAAAGAGTACTACTTTTTTAAACAAATGTACAGAATATTTTCAAAGAACTAATTTCTTATAACAGATTTTGTTTAAGATAAAATCTTTAGCTTACATTTGCTAGTTTCAAAATGTTGAGTTTTTTCAGTTTTCAAAAATACGAAGAGTTCAACGAATATGACAACCGCCATTCTTTTAAGCGACCCTCCTTCTATCATTGAAAGAAAATTGGAGTGGTTTTTTAAGATTTTTTTCGAAATAACGTTTATTTCAAGCGCAAATTATGCAAAAATTAATTGTTTATTTTAAAAATTGAATATGATCTTTTTCAAAACGCTGGTTTGTCTTTGTCTGAGGCAAAAATTTCTATCTTCAATTTTGTAGTTTTTAAAAGTTCACTTTTTGCAATTTTCGAAATACCGGGCCAGTCTCCAAAAATGGAGTCCTCTCCTTACCGTCTCTTAAGGATAAAATATAAAGAAAACATTTGGAGCGTTTTTTGAAAAGAAAAAAAGAAAAAAGAAAAAAGTTTTAACAATTGCCTATATGTCGTGCAAAATTACAAGAAAACTACTCACATTTCCGAAACAAGACCTTACTTCAAAAACTATCTTTAAGAAAGATTTTATTCAAGAAAAAATTTCTATCTTCAATATTACACACTCATCGCCATTATAAAGCTGCACCCAGAAGGATGAGGCGGATTGCGATCATTGTTGGCAGGCATGTAGAGGGTACCACGCGTACGAAGAGATTTCTCTTTCACATTTGTAGGACCAACATTTACTGTCACAGACGATACCTCTTAGTATTGCGTGGGGCCGCCATGTTGTCGAACGCGTCAGACCGCCATGTTGTCGAACGCCACGCGTCCAGACGTTGCGGCATGGAGTTGTACAGGTCTCGAATGGAGTCCTGTGCTAGTCCATGCCAAGCAACTTGAACCTGAGCGCAGAGTGCTTGCGGATTGGTGGGTAGGGGGAGGGGTCCTGATCGCACGCTCCACGGCACCCCACACATTGTCGATCGTGGAGAGGTCTGGAGATGCGGCTGGGGCCATGGCAGAGTATCCACGGCCAAAAGGATGCTCGGGAGATGGCTGCGGTATGCGGACGTGCGTTGTCCTGTTGAAATAGGGCGTGGGCGTGGGCCTTGACGAACGGCTGAGCCACCGGTTGTAGGATCTCCCGAACGTCCCTCGGGTTCAGCCCAGAGCTCACGAGTCCTCAGCTCGTGAGAAGCCCCCGGGTCTAGAAGTCGCCCCCGGGGAAAATATGAAGTAACATACAAAACTCGACGCTTTACTAGTTCGTTGCTAAATCAAGGGAGAATTCGAAATGTTTTATATTTTTATGCGGGTATGGGGAAACGAAACATTGTATTCATTTGTAAATATGACGATAAACGTAAGAGTATGCACCTAATTATTAATGCATACTATTACAAAACACAACCATTTTAATCAATTTGCACACAAATATTTTTAGCAAAATTACGCTTACATGCGATAATATAATACTAATTTTAGAGCAATTATACACATTTAGAGCACATTTACATTTGTATTTTAATGATACTAGCGCACCCGTGCGAGAACTCTCGCATGATAATCCCCATTATTTCCCTATCATTTCCATTGAAACGAAAGTTAATGAAACATGTTTTTTGTTTAAAATGTATAAATGTAATTTCGTACTTACACAATATCAAGCAAAAAACAATCCAATTGACATTAGAAACAAATCTTTAATGGCATTTTACCTAGTGTTATGTTCTTCGAACAATTAACACTTTCTTAAAAGCATTTGAAGTTCCTTGACAGCTTTTCGCTTTACTTGAATGTAAACACAAAAATAATAGAAAATGTTTATACTTTTGAGAAAGTCAGGAAATTTTTGCCATGCGAAAATAAAAGATCCGGCAAGTACAACCCTACTCTTTTCAACATTACTTAACTTTCCTGGATTTGTTTTAAGGAATAGCGGGAGGGAGGGTCAGGGCGCCAGCTTGCTGAAATGCGAAAATTGAAACATAATTTGTATACTAAACAATTTTGGATTATTTTCTGTATTCTTCCGTAAGTCAAGAAGCTCAATTCCGGGTCCAAATAAATAAAACTAATGTTTTCCCCTTTGAGTAATATATACCATTTGTTACCATTAGAAACAATTCTGTAGTCTTAGACTTCACTTGGGTATTAGGGGATGTTGCTCAACAATTTTTACGTATTATATATCTTTGCGAACCGACACCGTAAGTTTAATATCAACTGTGTATTATTTACAATATGAGTTAACAGCATGGCATTGATGAACAGAGTTCCAGATAACGCCAACATTTAAATCGTGCGTCTGGATTGTGATCGTTAGCAGTTGTCAAATGACATTTTTTCTATAATTTTCAATTTGGTTGATTTTTTAAATCAATTCACGTAGTACTGTAGGCTAGCGCGTTATTATTATTTTTGTTGTTCATTTATTTCAAACTGTTTTACTTTAGTTAATTTAAAAATTGTCTTCCTTGTGTTGGGCCATAGCACAAGTTTTCTCCTACTTCCTCCGAGTACCGAGAACTCTCGCACGTTAAACCCCACACTCTATTCTTCTATTTCCATTCTAAGAGAGAAAGTTGTAAACAAAACGTATTTATTTGTTTAAAAATATATAAAGGTAACTTCCATTGTACTAACTCATAAAATAAAAAACAATGCAATTGATGTTCAAAAAAATTTTTACTAAAGATTTATCGAGAGATTTCTTGAAACAATTCTCAACACTCCCTTAAAAATATTTGAAGTCATTATTCAATATTATTTGACAGGTAGCTTTTCGCTTTTCGTGATAGTCACAATAATTTTTTTTAAACTTTTTACTGTTCAGAAAGAACACGAAACTGACTTTAAAGTTACGCCGAATTGCTGCTGATAACGAAAATACAGGTGAAACAAAAACCATACCTAACAAGACACGTCTTCACTCTTCACTGAACTCCCACATCCCTCCAAAATTAGGTACAGATCACTTCTAGACTTCTTCAAAACGTTAAATAAATGTTTTCAATACAAGCATAAGAAACAATCTTCATCGATATCAATCCATTATTAATAGTACTTCTAGTTGTTGCTGAGAGAGAAAATCATTTTTTCCCTAATTATGCCAATAAACTTCGTCAGTCTGTGCGAACCACATAGTGTATAGAAAGCGAAAATAGTATAAGATAAAGGAATCTTAACCTATTAAACGAGATCCCAAAGATGGCCATCATTACCAAGTGTTGAAATCTAATTGGCTTTGGTAGTATCGATAAGTATCGAACCACCTAAAATTTAATAGAAAATCTAAAAGTATCTCACCCTATAAAATTAAAGTGCGAGAAAAGTGTCTTTGAAGCCTTTGGCCTGAAAATGTTTGTTTGTAAGGCTCCAGAACGCTTCATTTAGGACATAATTAGACGTTTCAGGGTTTGTAGGCCGTGCTCCAACGGAGACTTGTCCATACGTTTCGCCTGCAACTGTGGCAGGCATCATCAGTGGAGTTGCTGGCGGGAGCGAAGTGTTCTTCTTGGCAGCACCGCGTGACGCCCCCGCTTTTGTTTTTTTTGGGGGGGGGGCTAAGCCAAAGGTTTGTGTACTGTGTGTTGCAGTGCGCACGCAATTTTGCGTTTTACTGCTATGTGTAAGTGACTGATGTGGGCTCGGGTCGGACCTTAGTCAATAGCCAAATCGGCATTTGTGTTGCACTGTGCCCTTAGAATATCAGAGAGGAGTGCTCGTCTTCTTTGCCCTATTGTTAGGACGTGTCGAGCTAACTGTTTGAGCGTTGCCGGAGCTTCGTCGGTTTGAAAGGCTTGATAAGCTTCGTTAAACGAAAGCCATCTCAAGCATGAATGAAAGACTCGAAGTTTCTTCCTCAGTACCTTCAACCTTTTCCGAAACGGAGGGCATGCTATGAGCCGTAGAACTTTGTTCTGTACCAGCTCAAGTGTATCCTAGTACTTCTGTGCTGTAGTCCACCACATGTTGCCGCAGCGTACGTGGCCACAGGCCGGCAACACGTTTTATAGTGTGCCAGGCGAAGTTCCAAGGAGAGTGTAGGTTTCCTCAAATGAGGTTGTAATAGTCGAATTCTTTGTTGTAATTTTGATCGAATTCGCCTGGCAGGTAAATGCCAGCGCAGCCTTCGATCAAAAGTGACGTAGGTTGCCTTAGGTGCCCATGTTAGTTAAATAGCCTGTGACTTTTCCGCTGAGAAAGTCAAGTGGTTTTGTTCCGCCCACTTCAGCGTCAGGTTCTCCTGTTTTTGAAGTTTTTTGAGTTTGTGGTCTAGGTTTATTCCTCTCGCTAAGACGGCTATGTCATCAGCGTAAAGGAATAGTCTTATTCGTGGTATTTTCGGTATTATTGACATAGCGAGAACAGTAGCGGAGAGAGGACGTAACCCTGAGGGGCTCCAGCCGCAATCCTCCGCTTTGAGGATCTCGCTTTGCCCACTTTTACCACGAATGTGCGGTTTGTGAGGAAAGATGCAATATTTTCAGTTACATCTTGAGGAAGGCAGCGTCGGAGTTTGGAGATGAGTGTGCTGTGTGGCACTTTTTCAAAGGATTGTACCATGTCGAGATGTATGACAGGTACATCCTGTGTAACAGATTAGCGGAAATCTGGTGACCCATGCAAAGTGTGATGCGGAATGGCCCGGTCTGAAGGCAAACTGTTCATCTCAGATGAGGTTCCGCGAGAGAGCAGTTGGCAGAATTCGAGCGAGTAGCAGCCTCTCAAATACCTTTCCCATAACCGGGAGAAGACTGATAGGCCGGTGGCTCGCCGCGATCGTGAGTTCCTCGCCGGGTTTCGGAGGCATAGCAATACTTGCGTATTTCCAATTTTCCGGAAAGTACCGATGTGCAATGTAGCTATTGTAGATTCGCGTCAGCTCCGTATTTATGACCGGAAGGGCCTCCTTAAGAATGGGAGGGCCTATTCGGTCAGGTCCCGGTGCCTTGAGACTACGCAAGCATTTCATTATAGTCGAAACTTCTTCGACTGTACAATTTGTAAGTGTGCTGGTCTGGAAGTGTACAATTTGTAGTGTGTGGTGGTGGAGAGAACATTCGTCGCTTCAAAGCGCATGTCGTGTATACGTTCCGACAGCGCGTGATCGGCGACTGCTGATTTTTCTGTATGTCCTAGACAGCAGTTCCTTTTGTGTTCTTGTATACGAGTATGGAAACTTCTCCCTGAAGTATCTATGTACTTATAATGAACCGCAAGAACAAGGAATTCTGTTCATTCCAAATAGAGACATGCTGTCCTGTGGATCTTTCTCTGAGTTTAATATGTTTCGAAGATGTTACGAGGGTTTAAAAATTGTTCTAATCTTGTTAACTATCTCCCTATGCGGTCCGTTACTTTTTTCACATAGGGAAGGAAAACTGTACCGTGTATTGTATCTTCGGTATGTTTTTGTACTACGGTCTTCTTCTTGGGGTGTAGATCTCGTCTTACTTCGCTGGGCTTGTAAGCGTTGGCTTGTAATGCCGTTTCGAGGTGTTGTTGGATGGAACTTCGGGTTCGGGTTGTTGGATAGTGCGAAGGACGTTTTCGAGTTGGTGTAGGTCTAGGTCTCACGATTGTAGAAAAAACTGATTTTTCGAAAATTGCAACAGTCTCAAATTTGTTCGGCGTTTTATTACAGCCACAATTATGAAGATAGGAATTTTTTCCCTAATGAAATCTGTTCCTTAAAAATAGAATTTCAAACAAGATAATACCCAATTTCGCGTACTTCATTTTCTTTAAAAACTGTTCCAAAGCTTTTGATTAAATTTTGTTGTTCGATAGGCTAAAAGACGTATAAGACAATGGCACATTCTTATGTTGGTTTTAAAACCCTGATTTTTTGTATATTAAAAAAATTCAAAATGTTTTCGGCGCCTTTTTACAACTACAATAATGAAGATACACATTTTCTTCCATAATGAAATGTGTCTGTGGAAATCACATCTAAATATATCATGTTCAGTTTTTCAAAACACATGAATATTTTTGCGAAAGTTTGTGTCCAACATAAGCATGTTTTATTTTAAATAGTTTTCCTTAAAAAACGCACACTTTTTTAATTACTTTTACACCTTAGTTTAAAGGATGCATAAAAAGCTGGTGCAGGTATAATGTTCGTTAAAATGCCAAATTTTTCGAAAATAAAAAAAAATGTTCGGCGTTTCCCTATAATTACACATGTGAAGATACATTTATACTTTTCCATATACATACTATATTCGGAGTAAGGAAACGTTATGTAATGCTGCGGTAAATCG